AGGTTGTTCTGGAAACTAATTTTATTACTTAAAATTTGTCGAGTTACAAAACACAGTCACTACCTTCGGAGAATAGTAAACACAATATCAACAAAAGCGTGTGGAAATACAACAGATTCTCTCAATGTACGAAAGTGTCAAAGAGCGAGAGATGGAGGAATAGAGGGGCAGGGGTAGAGGGAAGAGAAGAAGCAGGGAGAGAGGGCGAAGAGAGAGGAAGGGAGGAAAGTCAGATATAAGGAGGGAAGGAGAGACAGAGAAGGGGTGTGAGGCTGGGAGAGGCAGGAGGTGAAGACGGAAGGAAGAGAGAATGGAAGGAGAGGGGAAAGAGTCATGTCAAAGCGATTATCGTGTAGTGCAATATCGTATGGCTGCTCGAGTTCATTCAATAATTGGCGCTCAAGTGTTAATTCTGGGGCGCAAGCACATTTTTGAAAAAAAAAGACACTTTTAAGCATTACAACTCCCGATATCCATTTGTTTCATTAATTATATCTACTAGGGCAGAGTATGTGCTCTCTAACGAGACCTCAAACCCCTTTCTTGGTTGTTGAAACGTATTGCCGAGCTACGTGCCTTTAAGGCTGCGCTCGAGACTAAACTTAGCTCCAATTCGGTCATCCTTGGATCGCAAACGCGTATCTATGCGGCTGCATAACAGATGCATGCCTTCTTTCCCGTAGTCAGCAAAATAAGGTGCAAAAGTAGCACGATTGCAAATATTGAAGAGATAATAGTTTATTAAGTTCGTTATAGGCGGTATTATCATACGTTTCTCCTACTTGGTCTGATTTTAAGGGCATTTCGCGACAAAAGGTTCCGAAAGCAACTTCTAATTTACCTTATTTTTGACATTACCACTTGTGACACGCATGGACTTGCGAATGCTATTCATTAAGGCCAGTTGGAATTATCATTTATAATCATAAGTTACAAAAACTGTAACTGTACGGAGAAACAAGTAACAGTACTGAGGTTATCCACGACAGTTTTCTGCATTTTGTAAATGTTTCACAGAAAGAAGAAACATTTGTGTTTTTTTCTCTTTTCCGCAGAAAAATGGGGATGAAAAAAGCGGGGTCATAAAAAGGTGATTAATTAGTATAGACAAAACTCCAATATATGAAAAGAATTTACGATTGTACAGATGTGACAGATTCAGTAGACAGCTCGTTGATGAAATTACAACTTTCACAGCATTCAAAAATATTACGTTTTAAAGAAAACGGTAACTTCGAGTGTAGTACGTTAGTATCACGAAATTGTGAGTCATGGTTGTCTGCTCACTACTAGGACATTCAAATCAATTTCTTCCTGCAAACATGTCAGGAAAAAAAAGCTAGTGGAGGGTTGTGGGCATGTGCGTGCGGCAGCTACAATTTCATTACATTAGTCATTCAAGTCATCAGCATATTACTTTTATATCGCAGCCAATCTATAAACTAACGATCCAATTTGAGACGAGGGACAATTGAAGACAATCAGGCGAAATTAATATGTAAAATCATGAGAAGTGCACGATTAACAGTCTCCATTTCTTAAAGCACATTCATGCACAACCCATCTTAGTGTACAATGGCGAAACAAATTTTGATTTCATGTTTCGTAAGTACTACCGTTAACATGAGAGACACACACACACATATACCAAAAAACTACTTCATTTATATAATCAAAAATCAGTTTTTTTTCAACAACGTTTAAATGTTTTTACAATAATTTACAATATTTTCTATATATTATTATTATTATTATTACTATTATTATTATTATCATTATAGATACCAATGTATCTCTTATGACACGATCCCGTCTATTTACTTACTATTTCCTTCCTTTACGTTGTAGAGAGAAAGTTATGTAACAGTGCAAACACATTCTTCGAGATCTTGAAGCAAATAAGTGCGTTGGGGACCCAGATATAGAAAAAGTCATTTTTGCTTTCTCCCTTACTACATACTTACGTATTAACGAGAAGCTATTGTAATGCTGCAGCGAAAAGACAAGATTTTTCGACAGAAAAAGTCGTATTGTGGTTTCCCCAAACCGAACAGATAATTATTCCTCGCGTTTGCAGTAAATTCCTTCCTCTATTTTGTAGTATAATCAGAATTCACGTTTTGTTGCTCCTTGAGACTAAACAATTGAGTGACGGCAAACACATCTGTACATCTGCTTTTCTGGAGTGGATAAAACATAATGAACTATATCAGCACAAAATAAAAGTATAAAATACAATGAGTTGTACCCGTACCACCTAGGCCTCAGGCCTGAGCGCTAGAACAAATTGGCGACCTCCGTGGGCAATATCAACAACACCCAGTAGGTGGTTCTGGCAATATGCGATGTAGTAACTATATCTCATATTGAAAATATGTATGCCTCACATTTTTATTGACTATTATCCTTTCTTTTAAATGCTTTGAATCATATCTTTCTAGGTTTACAGTTTAGTTCATATTTTAGAAGTTATACCTCAATGATTATTATTATTATTATTAATATTATTATTATATTAGCAATATAATTATCAATAAGTTCAAGAAGAGAGGATGTAAAATTACACTGCTTTTGGCAAATTTATTATAAAGAGTGAAAAGTTTTTGCTATCCATAACATTTTATGCTATTCATACTTTAACATATAGAAATCGAAAATTAACATTTAGAAAAGGAAAAATCAATATGATAAATCTATTTTGTAAGGTAAAGATCTACGCAAAAAATGTTGATGAATCACTATCCGAACATAAGACAAAGATAATTTAGGGATCGTAAAAAATATTAAAAGAGTGACTTATAGCTTTCATATTGTAAATATGTGTTTATATGATACAACAAAGACCTTACACGCAACGAAAAACGGGAGCATGATAAATGAAAATGATTTAATTATGTTATTGACATGATTTTTTGAATTCAAAAATACCTTTGGCCTGAAATTAACATACATAACCTGGTTTTGTGAATCCGTCAACATGAGGTAAGACGTCAAATGCATTATCTTTCACGAATGATAACACTAACATAACATTTAATTATGCATACCTTTTAATCCAATTCGAGTTCTCGTATTAAACAAAATGTATATTTACTAACGTACGCTTCGCCCTTGGTCTTCACATTCTAGCAATAAGATGTATCGTAGGCAATTGTTGACTGTTACAGAACAGATACAGTGTATATTTCAATGATACATTTCGTATATAATCATGTGTGGGAGGATAATCCATTGTACTTCTTCCCAAACACTGATGATGCCCACATAACATATCTGTATGTTATATTAACTTGTGTCCAAAGGTAACTTCACTAGACCAGGCAATTAATCTGACTTAATTAGTACTTTCTTATATCAATAAAGAAAACAACATACCGAGTGATTCTTTGTTGGAATGAAATTCTGCCACTCGATAGCATGTATCCACTTCTTGCTAATATTCTCACCGTCGGTAAATTTAAAAACAAATACTTTCGTAATATTTTCTTAGTTTCTCCGGCATTTGGGCATACAACACTTGTGCATAATCTTATATCACACTACTCAGTCGGAGGCAACCATATTGCCCTCCAAAAATGACACTGATCAGGCCTTCTACCAAGGTGGTATTGGTTTAAAATATTTGCATTTTCAAAAATGACGCATGCAATTTTTTCGAACTTTTCGTGCATCCTCAATGTTTGCATTATGAGTAGTTGAACGAATACGTGAAAATGTTTGCTTTAGTTAACATCTTCTAATAAGTTTCTTGAAATTTCAAACGTTTTCTAGTACAAGAAGGCTTATGCTGTATATTAAAACGGGTACAAACTACCAAAACTTTCGGAAATGCTATCTGATAAACACTAGAATGCCAATTCTGTTAACACATAGAAAAATCTGGATGGAACAGTATCAAAGGTTTTATTTCCTCTCGAATACAGGATTTTTTGCATAAGAATGTCGAGATTTCATAATTAGTCCTATTTATCTAGGTTTGACTGTATATAAATTCAGTGTCGCGATATGGCCCGCAACTCACGACACAGTTCGTAAGTACAATTGTTCACCATATGCTCCAAATATGGACAAATTTTCGTATGAAGTAGATTTAACAACTTATTAAGAGAATTTACAAAACTGAGTGCTGGGTTGCAACTCTTTTGGAGAAGAGAGTTGCGCTGGGGATGGCTAAAATGTACGTATGTGTGTGTGCATTTCACTTAGTTTTAATTATTTCAGAAACATGAATTATTTGGCAATACTTTTAATTCAGTCCACAGACTACAGTCATACCACTAGTGTCAGCTTTCCCTTATCCCCTTTCTTTTGGTATAATCATCCTTCGAATCACTTTCTACCATTTTATGAATCTCGTAATAAGTGGCGTAAGGATTGTGCATGACAATATTTCATCAAATATATATCAAATGTAAAGCAGTAATTTGAAAAAAAAGAAAATGAAATACGTTGCGCTGATCATTACGTCCCAAGACTCTACGATCAAACTTATTTATTAGGGTGGATAAGAAATATACTGGCAGAACGATCGGCGTAAGTTCCCACAAATCCTACGTAACGAATGAAGTTATAATTTTTTGTCCACAATGTAACATTGAAAAAATCCATGTCTGCAGGATCTGTCGCACCGCCCATTAAAACGCCCCCTTCTTTCCCTCCACCCCCCCCCCGTTCGCACACGCTAAGCTTCACCGCCGGCCGCGGTCCGCGAGCGCCGGGACGAGAGCCCAGCGTGGCGGCCGCGGCGACGGCGGCGGTGATGGTGGTGGCGGGCACCCGACTACGCGGCGCGTATATAAGGCGCTGGCGACCCCTCAAGCTCAGTCCGCGTGAGCGCGCGCGCCCGGTCGTCCGCTTTCCGCTGCGCCGCCGGCCCCACCACTGCGCCCCGTCCCGCCACGCGCCCGTCCTCCCGCGCGCTGGCCTCGACTGCGAGCCTCCGCCACAGCTCCCGCCGCACTCGGAGCGAACAGTGACAGTGTGGATGACAGTGACTGTGACAGTGGCAGCAGCGGTGACTGGCTTGGTGTGAACAGCGGCAAAAATAATCCTTCCTTGGTCGACGCCGGCTTTCTGAGCGGTCTTCGTATAGTGGGTGCTCGTCTTCCGCCTATTTCATGCTTCGCAAGACGCTATGCCGTTTGCCAGGTCAGTGTGAATATATTTTTCCTGCTGCTCAGCGTGCTGGATGCTACACATACACATACAGACACGTTTCTGTCGTATATGCAGTAACCGACGTGTACTGTCCCCCCCCCACACACACACACACATTGGAGGGCAGCGGGCTCTCGCACGCGGTACCCGGATCGACTCACCTGTGTGGTGATCGTCGCGTGAAGGTAGTAGGGTCGCGCCGCTGTGGCGTGGCCGTCGCATGTTCGGGCAGGTGCACCGACGATGCCGTTTGATCGCTCGGCCTCCGACCTTCGACTGCCGGGCCGCAGCGGAAACCGAGACCCGCGCGAGGCGACCCACACGTGCGGAATGGTCCTCGAGAATGGTCCACGCAACAAGCGACCCTCGACCGACCGACCGACCGACCGACCGACCGACCGATCGCCAGTTGGTTTCCTAGCACTGATTAATTAAAATAGAGGCTGATTGTGAAATAATGAGGGAGTATGACATACAGTGACCTATAGTCGCTATCAGCACATCAAGAAATGTTCACGCGAGTCGGGAAGAGATGTCTACTGTAGTTTATTCATAGATATCTGAAGTGGTAGAGTCCAGAACTAGGCGGTTATTGCCAATTTCGGACGTAGCTCAACGGCATTCTTGGCATCTACTAACAGAGAGTACTGATAAGATTATTAACTACAAAATAATTTACAGCGATCTTTTCCTTAACAGAAAAAAAAGAAGAGAAAGAACACTCTTTGATCAAACTTCCACAGCTGCGATTCATTGGATGGGAAACACAACTTCAATCATACTCTGATTGAAACAATGAAATTACGTCTAGTTCATCCCGAAAAAGAAATCCCACACGTACTACCGTTGCAACTATTCAGAATCGCACCGAAAGGAAAGAACAATCGAAGCAAAGCCACGGAGGACGATAGCGAATCCGCGCATCTAAACGCGTCATCCTTGAAAAGTGAGCAAGCGCTAATATCTCACCGAAGCTGCCCGGAACCGGAGGATTCGTCTTACGAATTAAGTCCAGGGCTGGAACAATCGTGTAATAGCGGCCGTACGGTTGTGTCAGGGGTGAGGCGTCCTTTCTCGCCGGCCTGCCTGCCTGTCCGCGGCCTCCTCCGCTCACGAGTACGCGCACGCGCATTGGCCCCGAGCAGCAGAGCATCGCGTGGCGCATCGCACGAGGCGGTGGCGTAGCAGAAGGGATGCGACATCCACGCCCATGTTTTCAAAACATCGATGTTTTTATAAAATCATTGATGTATGTAACACTGACTTTTTTTGCAGCAATTATTTTTTTAACATTGGTGTTTGGTGTTTTTCCGGGATCGCTATACTTTAATGAAAAAAGTCCATCGTAACAAAATCCTCAATTTTGTATACGTATTTTGTATACAATTTTGTATTGTATATAATTTTCAAACATCCATAAATAGAATATTCTTCAGACCAATGCGAGAAAGGGTAAAACGTAAATAAAATCGAGTTTCCGTCAATAAAGAAGCCTATATTATTTTTGAATGAACGAATCAAAATGCACGTATCGTTAATTGGCTTGATGAATTTTTCCCTTTGATATTTCAGTTATATGCCATTTAAAATTAATATACAATATCACTTTCAAATTAAATTCCCGCGTGTGAACTTCAATGGTTACTGATCCAGTTTCAAAAACATCGATGGTCTTGTTTTGATGTTCTCTTAACATCGATGTTTTAATTTAGAGCATCGAAGTTAAGAAACATGGATGTTATGTTGGCGATGTCGCATCATTAGTACGCACACGCGTATGAGCTCGGTGCAGCAGCACATCGCGTGGGTGCACGAGGCGGGGCGTAGCCTCCAAGCGAGGGGGGCAGGGGCTGCAAAGAGTAGCATCGTTTTAGGGCACCGTAACGGAAGTGCTCAATGGCTTTACAGTACCATCCTTGGCTCACACACACACATCCCTTTCCCATTCATCCCCACGCTCATGATCAACAACAGGTGAGAACACTTTTTATTCTAGGAGGGCCGTATACGTTGCGCGATCGTATTGCTATCAACGTCCGATTTAAATGCTAAACAAAATGTTGATAAATAGAGTAATACTGCTCACGAGGACAGTCAAAACAAAAATTTCGTTCAATGTGTAAATTAACAGTCTTCAGCTCTGCAACTGTGGCAGCAATGAACTTCAGTTCTATATAAACCAATCAGCTGCCACATGGACTCACCCAAACGCGGTTCAAATAAATCTAATCAAACACAATATCAAATCCATTTTCTTTCAAGAGAGTCGTTTATTACGAATAATTATTTTTTTATCCGGTTGTCGATTTGAAGGTTGCATAAGCAGTATTTACAATACGTTGTCTATCACATTTTGGAACAAATAATATTTCAAATATTTTCTTTCGATTGTATTCTATGAGTGACTGTGTGTGAAAATTGTATTTTAAAACTTTCTTCAAAATTTGAGAGTAATACATGAAGCTCCCCGAACATTTTCAAAGTTTTCTCAAAAACTCCACCAATTTTTTTCTTTAAATCTCTTGTAAAAACATGTGGTATAAAGGTTGTATATGTCCACTTATAAAGGTGGTATATGCCCGATTTTCATGGTAAACTCCGAATTCTCTAAATATTGAAAAACTACAAAATTAAATATAAGGATTTTTCCTTCATATCAAATTTGTTCTTCATAGTGAGTTCTTTCGTCAAGGTCATGTAGATTTTTGGGAACTTTTAGTAGGCTTCGCGCAATATTGCGTGCAATATGTGCAATTTAAAACAAAATACAAAAAGATATTCTCAAAAACAGCTCCAAGTTTGTTTTTTAACTTTTGGTAGGGGTAGTACTTGATATACTCTATAAGATAACATAAACGCCATATTGCTCTATTATTCATTGACATTTACTTTTTTAAAAAATATATATAGAATTTTCTCGGAATATTGCATGCAATATGTACAATATTATAAAATAGGGGTAGGGATAATGCTAAATGTAGTCTATGAGATGCCATAAAGAATAGAGCAACTGATGTTTATCACTGGCTCGATTCTTTTGTTTTATCAAAAATTACAAAAATGAAATTATTTTGACTTTCACAGCGTCGTTAATATTTACATTAGCGGCGTTTTTTACACATGAAAATAGCTCAAAATTCCACATTTTTCAGAAAAGCTACTTCACCACTTTCTCAAAAACAGCACCAAATTTTTTCTTCAAACTTATCGAACGGATAGTGCCAATTGCACTCTTTAATTTGACATAAGGTCCATTTTGGGGTACTTTTTGTATTTTCAAAAACTACACAAATGTAATTGTTTTGAAAGATATCTCTCGACGTTAATATGCATTAAATAATTTCCAGCAATTTGTAAAGACTATTTTATTTGTGCGTTGAAGTGCTTCAAATGACTTCTGAAGAAGTTTTTCGAAAACTCAAAAATTTTCTGTGAAAAACAGCTTCAAAATTCGAATTTACAGAAGCACTTAAACGCCATTTTCTTTAAAAACACTCCAAATTTTTCAAAGAAAATTGCCATTTAGGATGAGGTTTCACTGTTCTTTAATATTCTTAAAATCATATTTCCGTTCTACAATTAGGAATCCGAAAAATTAAGAGAATTTCAAACAAATGTACTTTGGGCAGAGATAGATATACTTTGGGCTGGTGGGAGAGTACTTTGGGCAGCTGGCAAGAGTACGTGGAAAGTCCGCGTATCGTGGTAGCGTAAATAGCCGAGACCAAAGGAAATAAAAAACGAATACGGGACAGTCTGTGACATTCTGCAGCACAACTAGTTTCCCGTATCTGACAGTTTTTGTAATTGTACGTAAAGTGCGTGTTCATCAAAATTATGAAACAAAAGTTCAATCTTCGGAATCGAATTGAACGCAATGAACTTAAATTATATTAAATGGTCAAACATTGCGCCCTCTGTGTAGTCCTTCATTTGAACATCCATAAAATGTGCTAAACACGGAATGAATAGAAGAATTGGTCTTTTTACTTACAAAAATGTTCTTGATAAAAACATTGTTTATAATACATTTATCACAATAGAGAAGATTTCAATACAAATTTGTTAATCGTCCTTTCTAATGTAAATGGTAATTTATTGGACCAAAATGTATAAAAGGGCAATATATAACATATTTTATTACAAAAATTTCATTAAAAGCGGTTGGAATAATCATTTTAGACCTCTCTTCAGGAAGTCCGAAAATTACAGAATAAAGATGAAAAGAAATTAACCATTTTTTATAATTAATGTTAGCATTATTGTAACCTCTTTGCCGTCTATTAAATAAAATGTTAAAAAAACCGCAGATCAATTGAAGCCTAGCATTCTAAACGGTTGACTTGAAAGCATAATTCCAAAAATCACATCTGAATTCCGATGCTAGGGACATATTCCCCGGAAATATTCTAAATTACGTTTAGGTGGTCGCGCATATGGCCGAAATTTAATTGGATATTACTGCCACCTGCTGAAGGGGAATATTTCGAATCGTTGATCCATATGCCTTATGCTCCTATGTTCATAGAGCATAAAGGTCGGAATCCAATTCACTTCCATTAAACTTTAGCCAGCATCTCGCAAAATCTCACGAGCCAGAAAGCAGAGAATGTAAGGAATAAACAAGGAAGACCGTTCACGTATGAGGTCAAACATGACAGACCGAGTTCAGGCAACATCGCCGAGGATCGTCTTAGGACAATGCGCTAGATGTAGTCATTGCACTCGTACACGCAATTACATGTCACACATGCGTCAATCGTAAGAGTACGAATGGCACGAGTCACGCGTCACCTTATCGAGGCGCTGCGGCTCCTGAGTCACGTCACCTGCAGCCCCCGCGGCACGCGTGCGGGCGCGCCACCCGAGACGGCAGGCAGAAAGGAGCGCACCGGCCCAAGCCTCTCCCCCGCGCGAGCCAATCTTTCGCTCGCACCGGCACTAGCGACGATATATAAATAAATAAAATAAATGTCATAATTGGTGGCGAG